AAAAAAAAAAAAAAGCAAAACGGCTGCATGTTTACGCAGGAGTGTGGACCGTTGACGTGGCGGAGCAGTGTGGGCGTTTTCAGGGCTGACCTGCTCTTGCCTCACGTTGGCCTTGTCTGTACGGCTTGAGAGGGACGTATCACCAACCATTGTGTGCACAGAGCATTTCTTCCGGGCCCTGAACAGCTAGGCCAAAGGGCAGAAAGGTGCCCAGTCCCTCTCCAGTGCCCTGATGGGATCATTGGTGGAATTCCCCCTCTCTAAGGAGAGCACTCTGGGTTCCACCTAATGAAAAAGGCCAGTCTCTTCTCTTAACAAAAGAGCCTTTAATACAAAAATTAGCCAGGCATGGTAGAGCGCACCTGTAGTCCCAGCTACTCTGGAGGCTGAGGCAGGAGAACTGCTTGAACCTAGGAAGTGGAGGTTACAGTGAGCCAAGACTGTGCCACCGCACTCCTGCCTAGGCAACAGAGTGAAACTCTACTTTAAAAAAAAAAAAAAAAAAAAGCCTTTAGCTTGTATGTGCTAAGCCATGTGGGTGTTAATCGCCCAGGTGATGTGCTCCTGCCCTGGCCAGGGAGGGTCTGTGCATCCCAGAAAGCAGGAAAGAATGTGAGTTGCACACCTTGTTGCCCCAGAGGGAGCCGCATTGCCACAAGCCCAGTCTGGGCCTCCCCCAGCTCTACCCGGCCTCGGCTCCTTCATTCATTCATGCCACAGTGCTTTCCTGAGCACGAGCCTATGCTGACACTGGGAACGCAAAGAAAATAAGCCTCGCCTGCTAAGAGGTGGATCTGTAGCAGCAGGCGGCGTTACCTAAGAGGTACCCTCTCCTGGGCGCGGGGGCCACGGTACTTCTTTACAACGCATCCAGCATGCAGAGGCATAGGTGTGTCTAGAGGAGGATGCAGGGGGAGCAGCCCTGCACCAGAGCCACCCACCAGTCTGCCCTATTCATCAAGGCCACTTTGATGCTCCCCGAATGGGCAATTGAGGTGATGTCTGTGAACTTGCAGTTGGTGGTATGGGAGCCACTCACCAGAGCCGCGTGGGCCTGGGCTTTCCCGAGACAGCCCTGCCGCACACTGCCAGTGCTCACGGCCCGCTCCAGGAACCCTCCGGGCCACGCACCAGTCACCAGAGCATCTTCCCCCTTGCTATGCACCCTCTGCTCTGCGCGCAAAGCCCACGACCACCAGCCTGGAGGGTGTGCTCCAGGGGGGTCCCTTTCAGCCCAGAAGACTCGTGCTGTATCCACCTTGCACCACACATTTCTTGTAACTTATGAACCAGCAGAGCTGCAGGGCCACGCCGGCTTGCTTGCTTGCTTTTCTGTCTGTCTGTCTCTCTCTTTCTCTCTCTGTCTCTCTTTCTCTGTTTCTCTCTCTCTCTCTCAACAGGGTCTCATCTGTCATCCAGGCTGAAGTGCTGTGGCATAATCATAGCTCATTGCAGCTTCAAACTCCTGGGCTCAAGACATCCTCCCACCTCAGCCTCCAGGTCCCCAAGCTGGGACTGCAGGCGTGCGCCGCCACATCCAGCTAATTCTTGCGCTTTTTGTAGAGGTGGGGCTCACTATGTTATGGCCTCAAACTCCTGAGCTCAAGGGATCCTCTCACCTCGGCCTCCCAAAGCTCTGGGATTACAGATGTGAGCCACTGCACTTGGCCTGTAGACTTCTTTTTTTTTTTTTTTTTTTTTTTTTTTTTTTTTTTTTTTTTTTTTTTTTTTTTTTTTTTTTTTTTTTTTTTTTTTTGAGACGGAGTTTCGCTCTTGTTACCCAGGCTGGAGTGCAATGGCGCGATCTCGGCTCACTGCAACCTCCACCTCCTGGGTTCAGGCAATTCTTCTGCCTCAGCCTCCTGAGTAGCTGGGATTACAGGCACGTGCCACCATGCCCAGCTGATTTTTTTTATTTTTAGTAGAGACGGGGTTTCACCATGTTGACCAGGATGGTCTCGATCTCTTGACCTCGTGATCCACCCGCCTTGGCCTCCCAAAGTACTGGGATTACAGGCGTGAGCCACCGCGCCCGGCTTCTTTTTTTTTTTTTTTAATTTTTAATTTGTGTGGGTACATAGTAGGTGTTTATATTTACAGGGTACATGAGAGGTTTGGATGAAATCGTCACATCATAGAGAATGGGGTACCATAGACATTCCTGATTCCACTTCGATCACATCTTCCAAAATGCACACACCATTACGAACTGTGTTTGTGTGTGTGAGAAAGTACTGAAACCCACACTAAGACTTTATTAATTATCCCTGTTACAGGACTAACTTAAGACTCATCAGTAAGCTGATATGATATTTTACCATTGATTTCCATTCCCACCCTCCCACCCTCCTTTTTTTCTTTGACTTGTACGAGAGAAACCATAGCTCTTCTTTTTTCTTTTTTTTTGAGATGGAGTCTTGCTCTGTCACCCAAGCTGGAGTGCAGTGGTGCGATCTCGGCTCACTGCAGCCTCCGCCTCCCAGGTTCCAGCCATTCTCCTGTCTCAGCCTCCTGAGTAGCTGGGATTACAGGTGCGCGCCACCCTGCCCAGCTAATTTTTGTATTTTTAGTAGAGATGGGGTTTCACCATATTGGCCAGGCTGGTCTCAAACTCCTGACCTCATAATCTGCCCGCTTTGGCCTCTCAAAGTGTTGGGATTACAGGCGTGAGCCACCGCATCCAGCCCATAGCTCTTCTTTTCAGCAAAATCCATTGATCCTCCTCAGCCTAAGCGTTTAAAGTTCAATTTAACATTTAGGGAGTAAAAGGTCTCCGAAGGGACTCGTAACCATTGATTTTGTGTCAGACTTGAAGAGCTAAGGTTTAAAACACACCAGTCCTACCAGGTTATGAGATCCTTGTACCTACAGCCATGTGGAATTATGTGCTTCTCTTACTGTAGGTTTTTTTTTCTTTTCTGCAGAGGTTACGATAAAAGCACTTAAAGAGAAAATCCGAGAATATGAACAGACACTGAAGAACCAAGCCGAAACCATAGCTCTTGAGAAGGAACAGAAGTTACAGAATGACTTTGCAGAAAAGGAGAGGTGAGCATGGCTTCCGGGTGCACACAGACCGACATAGCATTTGCCCTGAACTTCACATGGCAAGACACGTTGATAAATGGACCTGCAAAATCAGCGCGCACTGTAACCCCATATCCGTAATAGCTGTAGGTAAAATATTTCAAAAATGATATTCTACATTTGTGAGGTTTCCTCGAGCAACATACATCTGTCCTTCCCCATCGGTGAGGGGTGTCAGGCAGCCTGTGAGCCCAAGGGCATCCAGGCTGTGCAGATGCAGAGGTGAAGCTCAAGACATGAGTCGTTAGCGAGGTGACACCCGACAGCTGGACCTGGGCTGAGACCAGAGAGGAAAGGCCATTTCCCAGTGTGTGTCCTCGGGGGACGAGCTCTGTGCTGGTGCTAAACTCTCTCTGCCTTCTCAAGTGAATTGATATTTAATAGTACACACGCGCGCGCACACACACACAATCTTGGTGGGTTTTTTGGTATTGCCTCTTTTATTACCTCACATATCAGGGAGTTAGTAAAGTATGTTAATGCACTGTCTAACTGATGTGAGTTTTAGATTTCTAATGGCTTACATTACTGAGAGTGTTTCCCACAAATAATCAGTTGGTTTTTCTGTGACGAGTTAATGAAAGTTGGATTCGTTGTAACAACAAGAGAGGGAGTCTGATTCTATCAGGCTGGAGTGCAGTGGCGTGATCTTGGCTCATTGCAACCTCTACCTCCCGGGTTCAAGCGATTCTTCTGTCTCATCCTCCCAAATACCTGGGACTACAGGTGCATACCACCACACACAGCTAATATTTATTTATTTTATTTATTTATTTATTTATTTATTTTTAGACACAGGGTTTCTCCATGTTGGCCAGGCTAGTCATGAACTCCCCACCTCAGCTGAGCCACCGCACCTGGCCTAATTTTTTTTTTTTAGTAGAGATTGGGTTTCACCATGTTGGCCAGGTTGGCTTGAACTCCTGACCCCTCAGGTGATCTTGCCTTGGCCTCCCAAAGCTCTGGGATCACAGGCATGAGCCACTGCACCTGGCTTCTTTTTTTTTTTTAAGATGGAATTTCACTCTCATTGCCCAGGCTGGAGTGCAATGGCGCAATCTAGGCTCACTGCAACCTCCACCTCCCATGTTCAAGCAATTCTCCTGCCTCACCCTCCTGAGTAGCTGGGATAATAGGCACATGCCACCGCACCTGGCTAATTTTTGCATTTTTAGTAGAGATGAGGTTTCACCATGTTGGCCAGCCTGGTCTCAAACTCCTGACCTCAGATAATCCACCTGCCTCAACCTCCCAAAGTTCTGGGATTACAGGTGCGAGCCACCATCCCCAGCCTAGATCAGATTTTTTTAAACTGAGGGTTTGAATTAAGATATTAAATTTTATACCTGCCCCCATCAAGTAAAAGAAAAGCAAAAAAGGGAAAAAAAAGAGATACTGAATTTTAACTCTAGCATGAAGAAATGTATGTGTCCATCAACAAGAAGCACTAAGTTTATGATTATAGGTAAGGGGTCCGGTGGGATTGTGGCTGGCGTGGGGTTTGGTTATTTTATTTTCAGTTGACTTCCTATGCTGATGCTCTTGGTGAACTTTTCTTTTTATTTTATTTTATGTTTTTTGAGACCGAGTCTCACTCTATCACCCAGGCTGGAGTGCAGTGGTGCTATCGCGGCTCACCGCAACCTCCACCTCCTGGGTTCAAGCAATTCTCCTGCCTCATTCTCCTGAGTAGCTGGGACTACAGGTGCGTGCCACCACCATGCCCAGCTAGTTTTTGTATTTTTAGTAGAGACGGCATTTCACTTTATTGGCCAGGATGGTCTTGATCTCTTGACCTTGAGATCCATTCGCCTTGGGCCCCCCAAAGTGCTGTGATTACAGGCATGAGCCACGGCGCCCAGCCCTTGGTGAACTTTTGTAAGGCAGGCTCTGTAACAACATCATTGGGTTAGGAGATGGGGCTCAGACACTGGACCAAATTGAAGGCTAGCTAAAATGGCCTCGAGAGAAGCAGCCTTCTATAAGACATGCCCACCAGCGTGCCATGTCAGTTTACCATTGCCATGGCAACACCCAGGAGTTACCACCCCTTTCCACAGCAATGATCTGACAGCTCAAAAGTTACTACCCTTCCCTGGAAATCTCCACATAAGCTGCCTCTTAATCTACAGGTAATTAAAAGTAGTTACAAATATGAGTGCAGAACTGTCCTAATCTACAGTCAGCACACGGCCTGCGGGGCATGACGAGACCAGTCACGGAGCTGTAACACTGCCGTCTCCATAAAGCTGCCTTCTGCCCTACCACCGGCTCGCCCTTGAATTCCTTCCTGGCCGAAGCCCAGAGCCCTTGCCAGCTAAGCCCTCCTTTGGGCTCACCTGCCCTACAGCATCACGAAGGCTTCTGGGGGATGTCTTTAAGCTGACTTCATCCGAAACGAAAACTGGCTGGGCATCGTGGCTCACATCTGTAATCTCAGCACTTTGAGGATTACACATATCTGTAGGCTGAGGCAGGAGGATCCCTTGAACTCAGGGGTTTGAGACCAGCCTGGACAACAGAGATATGCCATCTCTACAATGGTTGAATGAATGAATGAATGAGCCACGCCTGTCAGCACGTGCCTATAGTCCCAGCTACTCAGGAGACTGAGGCAGGAGGATTGCTTGAGGTCAGGAGTTCCAGGCTGCAGTGAGCCATGATCAGGCCATTGTAATCCAACCTGGGTAACAGAGCAAGACCTTGTCTCAAAAAAAAAAAAAAAGAAAAGAAAAAGAAAGAAAGAAAAAGAAAAGAAGAGGTCAGGTGCGGTGGCTCACACCTGTAATCCCAGCACTTTGGGAAGCCGAGGTGGGTGGATCATTTGAGGTCAGGAGTTCAAGGCCAGCCTGACCAACAAGGTGAAACCGCATTTCTACTAAAAAAAAAAAAAAAAATACAAAATTAGCTGGGCATGGTGGCTCACACCTGTAATCCCAGCACTTTGGGAAGCCGAGGTGGGTGGATCATTTGAGGTCAGGAGTTCAAGGCCAGCCTGACCAACAAGGTGAAACCGCATTTCTACTAAAAAAAAAAAAAAAAAATACAAAATTAGCTGGGCATGGTGGCTCACACCTGTAATCCCAGCTACTTGGGAGGCTGAGGCAGAAGAATTGCTTGAACCGGGGAGGCGGAGGTTGCAACAAGCCGAGATCGCACCATTGCACTCCAGCCTGGACAACAAGAGTGAAAATCCGCCTCAAAAAAAAGAAAGGAAAAAAGATAACAGCCAGCTCCCACCCACCCAGGGTCTTCCCTGCATCAGAACTTGGCTGGAGGTTCTCAGTATGTTCTGTCACTGATTGCCCAAGTTGGATCTGCAGTGTAGACCATCTCGTTTCACAGAGGGAGAAACCAGGTTGCGGGTGAAGTACCTCCTACAGCTTTTGCAGTTAATCAGGGCCAGAGGTGGGACTTTGCATCTCCAGACTGCCGCCTGCCCACTTCTGCCCTGGCCTCCACCTCTGCTCTGTCATGGTCACCTGGAGTCCTCACTGCAGGACCAAGGCCAGTCCCTTGGGGCCATGCCCAACTCTGCAGGTGGAGGCTGCATCCATCCTCCACTGGGGGAGCGCAGCAGGGCGCAGACTCCAGGAGAGGAATGCGAAACACAGAATCAAGGCTCGGAAGGATGGCCAGACCCTTGATGCCATTGATACGGACTTGGTCCTAAGTCAGTGCCTCTTAGGATAGCACTTTACGACCAAAGAGATTCCTCACCAGTGAGTGATAAAATGCAGTCAGTCTGTTTGCCCTGCCGTGGAGAAATGGGTTAGTAGAAAGAGGACTATCCCTAACTGGGGTGTTATGTCACCTTTTAAATATTAATAATAGTTATGTAGAATTCATAGTAATGTAAGAAATATGTCTAGCATAATATAAAGTCAAAAAATGTACCGTACAAAATTATATACTATACAGTACGATTGTACATCTTCCTGCAGCAAACTCATACATTACCACAATGTGGAAATAAACACATATGGGAATTAAATATTATTAAGTTGATTTTTTTTTTTTTTTTTTTGAGATGGAATCTCACCCAGGCTGCAGTGCAGTGGCACAGTCTCAGCTCACTGCAGCCCTCTGCTCCAGGTTGAAGTGATTCTCCTGCCTCAGCCTCCTAAGTAGCTGAGATTACAGGTGTGTGCCACCACAGCCCAGCTAATTTTTTTGTTTTTAGTAGAAACGGAGTTTCACCATGTTGCTCAGGGTGGCTTTGAACTCCTGACCTCAGGTGATCTGCCCACCTCGGCCTACCAAAGTGCGGGCATTACAATTGTAAGCCACTGTGCCCAGCTCTTGACTTTTCAAATTAGGTAAAGGGATTGGATATATTGAAAGATAGAATAACTGACTGTTAGAGGGAAGAGCTGAAGCTAGAATTTACTTCATTCTCTCTCTCTCTCTCTCTCTCTCTCTCTCTCTGTGGGTGTGGGTGTGGGTGTGGGTGTATGTGTGTTTTGAGACCATGTCTCACTCTGTCGCACAGGCTGCAGTGCAGTGGCACAGTCTCAGCTTACTGCAACCTCTGCCTCCTGGGTTCAAGAACTTCTCCTGCCTCAGCCTCCCGGATAGCTGGGGTTACAGGTACCCAACATCACACCCAGCTAATTTTTATATTTTTAATAGAAACAGGGTTTCACCATGTTGGCCAGGCTGGTCTTGAACTCCTGACCTCAAGTGATCCACCTACCTCGGCCTCCCAAAGTTCTGGGATTACAGATGTTATTCTTTATACCAAAAAACTGTGGATGGATCTAGGATTTAAAGATTATAATTTTTTAATGTCACAAACATAGTGGAAGTAAGCTAGGGTGCATATTTGTTATTAATATGACTGAAACTTAAAATAGATTCTTTACAACTAATAACATTTTTAAAAATCAACAAACTGGGAAGAAATATTTGTACCATGTAAGACAATGGGCTAATTTGCTTTATATACAAAGAGGTCTTCTAAATTAATAAGAACAAAATCCACTCTACGAAAATAGCCAAAGGAGATAAGTAGGCATTTCATACAAAGAGAAATAACGTAGCTTTACTCAGCAGTAAAAAAAATTTAAATCTGATTTTATCTTATGTTGGCAGAGTATACGAAAACACACTTACATATTGTTGGTGGGAGTTTAAACTGGTGAAAGTTTTTTGTTGGGAAGTTTTTCAACATCTATCAAAACAAAAAAAAGGGGCCAGGCGAACTGGCTCATGCCTGTAATTTCAGCACTTTGGGAGGCTAAGGCAGGTGGATCACTTGAGGCAGGGAGTTTGAGACCAGCCTGGCCAACATGGTGAAACCCTGTTTCTACTAAAAATACAAAAAACAGCCAGGCGTAGTGGTGCACGCCTGTAATCCCAGTGTCCTGGGAGGCTGAGGCAGGAGAATTGCTTGAACCCAGGAGCAGACATTGCAGTGAGCCGAGATCACGCCACTGCGCTCCAGCCTCTGTGACAGAACAAGACCTTGTCTCCAAAAAACAAAAAAAGATTACCCTTTGATCATTGTAATTCCTCTATTAGCATTTCATCCAACAGATTCACTCTCAAAATTATACAATATCTCCACGAAGATCATTGAGGAAATGTTCAGTAAAACGAACCCTAGAAATAATCTGAGTGTCCAGAGAGACTTGATTAATTATTTAACAAGAATGAGGAGGAACTATGTTTGCTGGAATAGAACATTTCCCAAATACGTAGATAAGTGAATAAGGGAGCCCAGAATGTGGTGCGTGTTATGATCACCTTTGTATTAAAATAACAGGGCAGGGAGTTTCTGTTACGATGTAGCATATTGAATACTTCTATTTCACTAGTATATTTCATATTCATATTGCACTATAGTATATTACATTACTTCATTATTACATTATAGTGTGCTACGTCTCAGTTTATACTATGCTGTGGTATATTAGTTCATATTTTGCTATGCTATGTGACACATTAGTTTGAATTGTGCTAAAGTATGTTAGATTTTAATTCACATTATGCTATAGCATGTTACATGTTCATAGTACACTATAGTATATTACATTAGTTTACATGACGCTACAGCATGTTACATATTAGTTCATACTGCACTATAGTACATTACATTAGTTTACATCCTGCTATAGTATGTTGCATATTAGTTCATATGACGCCATAGCATGTTACATATTAGTTTATATTACACTATAGCTTGTTACATATTAGTTCACATTATGTAGTTCATATATGAGTTCATGCTATAGCGTGTTACACATCAGTTCGTATTGTGCTATAGTGTTATATATTGGTTCATAGTACACTATCGTTTGTATGTATTAGTTTATATTGTGCTACAGTGTGTTATGCATTTGTCTATATCACACTATAGCCTGTTATATATCATATGTTACATATTACTTCATGTTATGCTATAGTATGTTACATATTTTTTCTTATTACCCTGTAGCCTGCAACGTATGATGTCGTATCTCTGTACATGCAGAAACATTTTAGAAAGAAATGAACTCTAAGGAACGGAAATGAGCCAAGGAATAGTAAGAGTCTCACACTTTCCATGCGCTCATCATATTTCATTACATCCTTGAGAGTACATTGGTTTCATAATTGAAATACATGAAAATATTAGCAGTGCTTTTCTAGAGGTGATGGGAATTGGAGCGACTTCGTAAACTGTGTCATTTCTACTTTTCTGTATTCCCAGTTTATTATTATGAGAGCATATGTTATATTTGTATGATATAAAAGTAATAAACTTATTTTTAGAGGATTGGTTTTTTTTTAAGATTAAGAGGCAGGAATGCTATTTATTGACCAGGGAATTCACTTAGCGATCCTGGGAAATGTGAATCTGTGGAATGCAGTTGCGAGCGTTCACAGTGTCCCCATTAGGTATTGCAGTTGCGTTTTGCATTCCATTATAACAGAGACAGAACAGCTGCCACATCTATTTAGTGCATCCTTTATTCCAACAAACTCCTTCATTGTGTCAGCAGAATGTAAATGGATCATTCTTCTTGGGCTAACTTCAGAAAACAATGAGTGCGTGATGATGATTTTTTTTTTTTTCTTTTTAAAATCTGGCATTTCAAGAACAAATTACATTTAGGATAACCTTCTACGCCAATTACCACCCGTCAAGCCCTTGCAGGGTGCACGCTTCCCGTGATGTGACACGCGGTTACAAAGCTGGGATGTGGAAGCCGCGGGAGCCAGGCCCACGGCACACGTGTCATTGCGGGCGATACCCCGTGGCGCGCCTGTCACCAGCTGAGTGCAGGGAGGGAGCTGAGCTCAGCCCAAACGCACACGTGCATTTCAGTGGATAAAGGAGATGACCAATTTGGCTACATCCTCTTCCTTTGCAGAAAGCTGCAGGAGACACAGATGTCCACCACCTCGAAGCTGGAGGAAGCTGAGCATAAGGTTCAGAGCCTACAAACAGGTTTGACACTCTCCTTCCTAGTACCGTGGATGTGGGGAGGACCCAGGGGGAGAGTGGGGTCGGTCCCCTGACCGCCCTGGTCCCTGCAGATACCTGTTGCTCTTGGGACCCGTGGGAGCTGCTGTGAGCCCACGCTGAAGAATTCCGCAGCACGCCTGCCAGCTGCTGTGCCTCATTACTCACTGACTTTGAGTTCTTAATGTAGAGGTGGGAGGATCTCGGTTCCATTTTCATCCCTTCCACACGCCATCCTTTCTTCCTGCTCTTTTTCCAACAAACACGTCTAAATCACCAAACTGTCAAAGACTGACATTTCATTTGCAACAATAATAGAAAAAAAAAAAACTTACTTCTACCCTAAATGAAGTTAAAGAGAACAGTAATTTCAGACCTTTAAAATGTAAAAGCCACCAAAAAAGGTTATGCTCAAGTTTTTACAGTTTCTTTAAACTTCTTTTTTTCTCTCTTTTTTCTTTTTTTGTTTTGTTTTGTTTTTGTTTTTGGGGGACAGCTCTATCACCCAGGCTGGGGTTCAGTGGCGTGATCTCAGGTCACTACAACCTTCACCTCCCTGGGCTCCAGCAATTCTCCCATCTCAGCCTCCCCGGTAGCTGGGATTACAGGTGCCTGCCACCATGCCCAGCTAATTTTTGTATTTTTAATAGAGATAAGGTTTCACCATGTTGGCCAGTCTGGCCTAGATCACCTGAGCTCAAGTGAGCCACCACGCCCAGCCTCTCTTTTTTATTTCTGAAATAGGAGCATCACCATGTATTCCATTTAAATGTGTTTTTTAATTTTATTATTTTTTGGGTGACCCAGAACTGAGCAGATTATTTAAATGTAGACAGACATCAGAAGACATTATTCAAGTTAAAACACAAATGACAAGAGTGAGAGAAAATAATCACAACAAATTTGACAAACGGATAATAAACAACAAAATGTAAAGGCTGCCAGTCAATCCGTTAAGCTAGAGAAACAGTGCAGTAGAACAGTGAGCAGGCAGTCAGTTCACAGAAGAAATGCAAATGGAAACCACATATGAAGAAATGCAAAGTTTTTTTTTTTACAGTCAGGGAGATGCAGATTAGTGAAAGACTGTTTTGCCTATCAGACTGTCAGAATTTTTAAATTTTTTATTTCTTTCTTTTTCTTTTTCTTTTTCTTGAAATGGAGTCTCGCTCTATCACCCAGGCTGTAGTGCAGTGGTGTGATCTCTGCTCACTGCAACCTCCATCTCCAGGGTTCAAGAGATTCTCCTGCCTCAGCCTCCCGAGTAGCCGGGATTACAGGCACGCGCCACCACACTTGGCTAATTTTTGTATTTCTAGTAGAGACGGGGTTTTGCCGTGTTGGCCAAGCTGATCCTGAACTCCTGACCTCAGGTGATTTGCCCACCTCAGCCTCCCAAAGTGCTGGGGTTACAGATATAAGCCACCTTGCCCCGCCAGAAATAACAAAATACACCTTAAAACATGAGATGATCCAGGTGCAGTGACTCACACCCATAATCCTAGCACTTGGGGAGGCCAAGGTGGGAGGATCACTTCAGGCCAGGAGTTCCAGACCAGCCTGGGCAACATAGTAAAACCTTATCTCTACAATAGCCAAGAATAGTGGCTTGCGCCTGTAGTCCTAGCTATTTGGAAGGCTGAGTGAGGCAAGAGGATGGCTTGAGCCTAGGGGTTCAAGGATGCAATAAGCTGTGATTGTGCCATTGTACTCCAGCCTGGGTGACAGAGTGAGAAACCTTGTCTCTTAAAAACAAAAGGGATGGGCCGGGTACGCAGGCTAATGCCTGTAATCCCAGCACTGTGGGAGGCCAAGGCTGGCGGATCACCTGAGGTCGGGAGTTCAAGACCAGCCTGACCAACATGGAGAAACCCCATCTCCACCCACACACACACAAAAAAAAAGCAGTAAAAATCACATATAATGAAAGAAGTACTTGGAGGAAAAGTCATAGCATCATAGCCCTAAATATCTATATAAATAAAGAAATATAAATCTTTCTTCTTATTTAAGGCTTGGTCATAGCCTTAAATATCTATATAAATAAGGAAAAAAGGAATGGNAAAAAAAAAAAAATCGGAAGGAATGGACAGACAAAAAAAAAAAAAAAAAAAGAAGTAAAAATTATTAAAAAAAAAAAAAATCGGAAGGAATGGACAGACGGGTGGAGGGAGGGGAGGAGGGAAGGAAGGAAACTATTAACATTGGTTCTGTCTTTGCAGGTGCTTGGGATTAGATGAGGCAGAGATGAAAGGGGATTTCCTATTGTATTTTTTGTATTTTCATCATCTTGGCCTTTTTTGTATTTTTTTAATCTTTATTTTTTCACACTCTTCACAGAAATCTCTGCCTCTTTTGAAATGGGAATAGATTAGATGTATATGCGTTCTTTTTAACCTTTATTTAGAGAGTGTCTTATGTCACGATTTATATTCTTTGCCTTTCAGCCCTGGAAAAAACTCGAACAGAATTATTTGACCTGAAAACCAAATACGATGAAGAAACTACTGCAAAGTAAGTCTCCCTGCTTGGCTCCCCTTAACCATCCGCATTTCTCACCTGATTTTGCTCTGCAGAGTAGGGCGGGGTGGAGAAGGTTCTTGACCTCCGCTGCAGGTACAAGGTGCCTTTCCCGTGAGTTCTCGCGTCAGTTTCAGTGCATGTTCTAGCACTCACTGGATAATCCTTCCAACAAACTTCTTCCCTTCTTTATTATGAAGCCTGGTCACTGCTAGGCCTTTTGCCATGAGAATCTGGGAGTTCATTTATACGACACACGGGGCATTTTTTGTGTGGAGTTGGGCAAATCCTATTCTCTGGGCCAGAGTTCTTCGTTTCTCCCAGGACCCTTTAGGAAGGCCAGCCTCAGAATAATACATTCCCATGCAGGCATATGGGTTCATGTCACACCTTACAATGCTAGGTGTGCATATACAGATGGATACAGATTCGGGCGAGCAGAGTCACAAAAGGCCAACTTCCTACCCAGCTCTTGTCCAAAGGAAATTAGAGGCATCCACTACAAGTGTTCTTTTTACCAGCCCATCTTTCGTGTGGAACACCAGCAAGGAAGGAATAATGATCGATATGTCATGAAAAGATGAAGAATTGGCAGAAATTGCTCCTAGCCATTTCCTCCTCTACCAAATTCCAGGTGGGCGGTGCCAGGCTAGTGTTTGAACCTCTTTTTCCTGTTCTGGAAGGCTCTCCCCATCTTGCGTGGAAACACACTTGTGTGCCCACTGCCATGTCTCTTGGGTTTCCCTACCCCAGTAACAAAGGTTCCCCCAACTCTGCTCACACAGTGCCTCCGTGGGCCTCAGTGAGAAGAGGGGTGCTTCTGAATGTCGCTGCTGTCGCCCCAAGCTCCAGCTATGTGTGGGGTGCTGGTACTCAGTGTCTCTCTGCCCCATCTCACTTGACATTGGACTTTGAGGGTGCTGCTGGGTCCATTGCTTTCAGGATGCTGTATGGGGCTCTTGACTCTTTGCTCAAGCTCCCCAGCTTGGTGGTCAGAATGGATTCTGGTCATGAGTATGAAACTTACACATGAAGACTAAAACATCACCACCAGATTCTAATCACTCCTCTCAATTTCTTCTGCTTGGACCTGATTAAGCAACTTACTTGGATTAAGTTGTTTTTCTCTGTAAATCTGATTTTTAAAAATTACTATATTTCACCAGGCATGGTGGTATGCACCTGTAGTCTCAACTACTCAGGAGGCAGAGGTGGGAGGATCACTTGAATCCAGGACTTGAGGCTGCAGTGAGCTGTGATAGTGCCACTGTACTCCAGCCTGGGCAGCAGAGTAAGACCCTTTCCCTAAAAATAAGAAAAAATTTTTTTAAATGTATTGTTTTTAATCTTAAAAAAAAAAAAAAACATGTGAGGGGCTGATTGTCCTGTCATGTAAAAATTAGCCTTGGCCGGGTGCAGGGGCTCACACCTGGAATCCCAGCACTTTGGGAGGCCAAGGTGGGCAGATTACCTGAGGTCAGGTGTTCCAGACCAGTCCGACCAACATGGAGAAACCCTGTCTCTACTAAAAATACAAAATTAGCCGGGCATGGTGGCACATGCCTATAATCCCAGCTACTCGGGAGGCTGAGGCAGGAGAATCGCTTGAACCCGGGAGGTGGAGGTTACAGTGAGCTGAGATTACACCACTGCACTCCAGCCTGGGCAACAAGAGGGAAACTCTGTCTCAAAAAAAAAAATTAGTCTAGCCTCAGCACTGTAACCCAGAGGGTAGTGGTTCCCCTGCGGCGTGCCCCACACGGCCTCTGAAATAAGAAACAATCTTGTCTCCCCAGTGGTGAGCCGAGCCGAGGGGGTGGTGTGCACGAAGGGAAAGAGACACACTCGGTGAGGTGATAAGCATGGCTCAGAGATGATAGATTCGTTCATTGATTCAACAGATGTTCACAGAGGCCTCCTCTGTGCCTCGCCCCTTGCAAATTCTGAGCCTTTTATGGCTCCATGGGGAGTCAGTCCACTGCTATCCAGCATGCCCAGTGCTGCCATTGAGGGATAGGGCACTGGCTGTCAGCTGGTCAGACGGGGAGCCTGCAGGCGGCAGGCAGGCCACTCCCATTGGGACAGTCAGAAGGTGCAGTGGCCCACACCTGTAATCCTGGTACTTTGGGAGGCTAAGGGGAGGGAATCATCTGAGGTAGGAGTTCAAGAGCAGCCTGACCAACATGGCAAAACCCCGTCTCTAAATAAAAATACAAGAATTAACTGAGCATGGTGGCTAGCGTCTGTAATCCCAGCTACTCAGGAGGTTGAGGCAGGAGAATCGTTTGAACTTGGGAAGCAGAGGTTGCAGTGAGCCAAGATGGTGCCACTGTACTCCAGCCTGGGCGACAGAGTGAGACTTCATCTCAAAAAAAAACAGTTCAACATTGGGTCTATTTGCAGAGGTGCGGATCCTAGGCCCGTAATACCAGTAGGGTTTCCACACCTGGGTTTGAATGAGGCAGAGGAGGGAAAGGTAGCTGGAGCCTGAAGGTAAGGGCCCCCTTGAGGGGAGCCGTGGCCTTGGGAGAGGACCCAAGGCAGTGCCGGGGACCCCTTATCTGACTCCCTCTCTCCTCCCACCAGCCAGGGAAGCTGGGGAAGAGAATAGAACATCCTCAGCATCGTGAGATCGCAGAGAAAGAATTGTCAGGAAGCCTTTCTAAAGAGGGTGGGATGGGATTTGAGATTGGAAGATGAGTCAAGTCAGGGGTTTGCAGAGGTTTGTGAAAATGCAAGCCTGTTGAATTCATTCTTGGGGAGGACCCGCCAGAGGATCCGAATGATTTGCTGTGGGCAGGATGGGTGCGGCCTGGCATTTCCACATCAGAAACGGTCTGGGCACTGACAGCGGCAGCCTGGGGCCAACCACGTACTGTGACAGTTCCCAGAGAAAGTTGTCCCCCAGAAATGCAAAGAATGGCCTGAGAGAATTGGATCTTGGCTACTTTTAACTTCGGAGGCCATGGGCTCCATCTGAGACCTCCCCCGCTGCCTTTCCCTCCCTTTTCATTTTCCAAGACAGATTTGTCACTATCCCATCTGCTTCAAGTCCAGCCTACACATATTTTATTAGACCAGGCATGTTTTCAGTAATGCATATGAATATAAGCTCCTTGGGGGCAAATCTTTTCACATAATGGTCTTACAGCATGTCAAAAACAATTTCTTTTCCCTCTTCAGAAGGAGGCGTTCTTAGGGCCGGAAGCAGTGGCTCACGTCTGTAATCCCAGCAGTTTGGGAGGCTGAGGCGGGCAGCATACTTTAGTCCAGGAGTTCGAGACCAGCCTGGGCAACATGGCGAAACCTTGTCTCTACAAAAAATGCAAAAATTATCCTGGCATGGTAGCTCGTAACTGTAGTCCCAGCTACTTGTGGGGCTGAAGTGGGAGGATCACTTGAGCTCAGGAGGTCGAGGCTTCAGTGAGCCTATATTGCACCACTGCACTCCAGCCTGGGTGGCAGAGTAAGACCCTGTCTCAAAAATAAATAAATAAATAAATAGAGGGATTCTTAGATATTTGTTGACAGAATTAGAGAGGCGTAAAGGAAGATGGGTTTTGGAGAAGGACTGACTTGGGAGTGATTCTCTAGGCTCCGGTACTAGCTTTCTGAGTGACCCTGAATACGCTATGACCTGTCAACCTCCCTTTCTGACCTGTACAGTGGCCATAACAGAAGTGAAGTCACTGGGTGGTTTTGAAGAGGAATGGGATGTGTGTGTACAGCACCTGGCATGGTGAGACTCTGAGGCTAAGCTGTCGACAGATAGAAGCTATTCCTAGCAAGCCTGCAGCAGGGCGTGGTATGCGTTTCTGAAATTAACGGCCTTGGAGGAAATTGACCTTAACCGCATCACCACGATGGGCTGGGCCCACATTGCCTGTCCGTCGTGGGGAGATGTCGCGGGGGACCCATCCCTCTCCCCTTTTTGGAGAGAAGCCCTCAGGTCGATGGCACTGAGGCTGCTCTGAGACCCTGGTTTATCGTGAGCAGTCATCGCCATGCGTCAGCTGGGACAGCACGGGCTGACTGTGACGAGACAACAGCAGTAAAGTTTTCCATGTGTAGGCTTGAAGCAAAATGTAATTAGCCTTTATGTGCCGAACAAGGGCCCATTGATGAATACAGCTGGTCTTTGTTTTGTCCTGTCGTTGAGAGTGGGAGGTAAAAGTGTTCTTCTTCATGTTTATTAATGCAAGATTCCTTAGACAAATGGCAAGCACAGTTTCATATTTGTTGGAACATGGGGACTTTGCCAAAACAGTTGTTGTGTAAGAGGACTGCAAGGTTTCCGATTATAACCATTTCTGGGTTAAATAAATGAATTATTTCTGCCCTTTTTTTCTTTTCTGAAATTTTTTTTAGAGTCAGGGTCTCACTGCGTTGCCCAGGGTGGGTCTCAAACTCCTGGCCTCAGGTGATCCTTTCGCCTCAGGCTCCCAAAGTGCTGGGATTACAGGCATGAGCCACCATGCCTGGCATTTTGTCTTTTCTTTAGTTAAAAACATACCTCCTTCTCAGGTGGTCACTCTGTGTACAGATTTTCCCATCTCTCTTAGCAAATGGAGGTTTACCACCCTAATCAACTTTACCTTGGAGGCTCTAGCAGAGGAACACGGTGCAGATTTTAACATCTAACAATTACCTGGGATGGATGTCCATGGAGATGGCGGATCCCTGTAATCATGCAGCAGCAGCCACCGGCCCAGAGAAAGAGGCCTGGGCAGCCCTCACTGCCCCAAGTTCCTGCGTCTGTCTCCTGCAGCTGTTCACTTACTTGCTCTTGGGTTTGGGTCACTACTGCACCCTCCAGCAGGAATGTCGCCCTCCCAGCCAAGCAGCTAGTGTTCTGGGCAAAAGTGCAGGAATTCGCATTTTTGCTAAAGCCCACGGTCCTGTGCTCTGTCCCCCCGAATCGGGGTTGGAAAAGGCGTTTCAGCTGCAACACACACAGTCAGCTTCTCGCATTCCTCCCCACTCGTGGGCCGGGC